CACGGAACGGCAAACGAAACACTCGCAACGGCGTCCGAATAATCTGTTAAACAGTCAGCGTGTACGAACCAGCGGCTAGAATCTAATTTTTATTATTAATTATTAAGGCTCGAGTTCTCACTTTCCGGTTAGTTGTTAACCAGAGGTTAGTCGATTCTCTGTCTCTTCTTAAATAATAACATAGAAAATGATGGAGAGTCGACTAACTTCTGGTTAACCAGAAAATGAAAACCTGGCCTTAGTAAGAAAAGAATGTAATGCGCAATGCTGGAGTTGTTCTCTTACCGGGCGGTTGTATTTTTCCTATACACACGCACCGTCGATCGTTACGCCGGAAAAGCTTATAAATGACATAAAAGTTTATTAAGCTTTTAATTCGATGGCGCCGTTGATGAAGACCCAATACAGTTTTCGCATAGCGAGACTCCGACAGGTGGCAGCCCGTTTGCTTGAAAATCATGACGGCAATAAACTTCGGTTTTATGACCACTTGAACAGAATCGTAAAAGTCAGGGCCTTTAAGCTTATAGCGCAGAAGGGCGCGTGTCGAATATAGTGGGGGCGTGAGGCGAGTCAATGTGAATGGGGAAGGTGTAACGGGCCATACGGATACCCAAAAATGGGCCTAAATGCCTTCTTTAAAGCGGCATTTGCGGCGAGTGGCTGGCTTTCAAAGATACCCCTTTGATATCAAATATCGACTATTTCAATTTCACGAGTCCACCGACAAAAGTCAAGTATCTACTTATATACTATTACGTTTCGTCAATGACTTCCGTCATAATATCTAATAGTTTAGTTTCCAATGACACGCTATACAAATTGTATGTTTATTGTTATATCCTGATGTTCCATGCGGTACGAGAAGAGACGCAGTCGTATTATCGTTAATTATCGATATAGAGTCTATATGAACGATGGACGTTCATTCAATGATCTCGAAAAAAAAACCAATTAGGGCGAAACAAGAATTTGGAAGAAGGGATTAGGAGGCGTAGCTCCACGAGAAGACGAAAGCGAAGGGGCCATTGCACCCGAGTCGGGTAAATCTGCGCTCTTGCTAAACCAGCGTTCATTCCTCATCGCTCGGGTAGCTTTGGCTCCTCCACTTTCCTCCAAGCAATGGTTCAACGCACTGCTTCGGCCCTTATTCCGGTTTAATCTTCCTTCTGTATTTCTATTAATATGCTTCTTGTATTTCACACGTTTCTATGCACTTCTATTTTTTTGTAGGTATCCAATTCAATAATATTTAATCGACAAACATCGACATTGTAAAATAACATCGGCATTGCTACCATTCTTCTTTCTTCAGTGAAGATTGTAAAATGTGTACGGAACGTGACAACGAAAGAAAATAGTGAACCGGACAGTAAAGTATTGTCCGGTTTACTGTTTATATTTTATTATTGGATTACATTTTATCTTTTGACCGAAATATTTAATGTGGCAACTAATTTAAAGATAATATAAATTAAAAAAAATGTTTATGTAATATTAATAATACAAAAACTAAGAGTTTAATAACATTTAACTCGTTTTTATTATGTAATAATGTATTTTTTACTAATAATAAGTAAAGCATTTTAGAGGATATAATTCTAAATGGATTGCCGTATGCATGTATTTTTACGAAAGCTTTTCTAGACAATGTTATTTTGCATAATGGTACCGTTCAAAAGTTAATAAGTTTAAAAAAATCTTATTAATTACCACACTGTATATTGATCGGCAGTGCATCAGGAGCAAAGATAAAACCGTAGCAAGGATTCGGAAGATGCTTCCTTTGCCATCTGGCGGTCTTTCGTGTCATCACCTGATTGCAAAGGTATAAGTATCGAATTTTCTGTAGTTTCACAGTCGATAGAAATTTTACCATAATCGTCGACACGCATAAATATTAAAATTTATTGTGCAATCTCCACCTCAACAATTCCAAATCCAAACCGTCACTGCCAAACTATCGCTATCGTTATAAACAAGGCAGTTGTCGCCATCAATTCTCGCGAT